CTCCTTTTTATTTCCCTACCACGTTCCGGACCATCTAGCCGGGGCTATAAAACGTAGCCCGCCTCGCCTCCTCGTTCTACGATTTTTCTCGTTCCATCCTCTATCAGTCTCTATCTTTCTCTTTTAACGTGCATCCAGCACGAACGTGCCGTTTTATGGTCGAGTCGGCCCGGTCTCCTTTTCCCACCGTGTCCTGCACGCGCCCACTCGTACCTTTCTTCACCCTTCGGCGCCTCGCGTGGGCGCTGTAAAGACCGCCGCGAATAAAATACCGAAGTACATTCGGGCGGCGACGTTTACTGGGGATTCTAGTTAACCCGGAACCGCGCCACCGCGTCTCTATCGTTTTGTTATCCGGTAAAAATAATAAAAACGAACGTCCCTAACGTGCGAACAGTTATAAACATTTTTTTGCCGGTCGGTTTTCCCGGTACCATCGAGATTGAATGCGCGGCTTCACGTCAGAAATGGAGCTTAAAGGCCACGGTTGTTCCCGTTGCTCTTTTACTTTTTTCATTTTCGCTCGAGGAAAATAACGGCCGATGGTACCGCTCGTTATAACGATGAATAAAAAAAAAAAACTGTGGAAAAGCGCTCCTCCGGCAGGGCGCGTGGTTATATTTTTTCGTCATACGAGAATTTCAGAGGAAACGCGGGATTATCCTTTTAAAGCTCTCCGTCTCTCCTGTCCCGTTGTTATTTTCTATCGAATTATTTAACTATGGAAATGAAACGTTCAAAAGAACAGCGAGATGGTAAACGAATCACTTTTATAAATACAAGCCGAAGATCCACGTGGTAGTATTTTTCAACCACGTTCTTCTGATCGCCACCCACGCGATCCTTTCATTATTATTCAAATGAACGACGTCCAAATATTATTAGAATCTTTTTTTATGCAGAAATGTTTAAAGTAGATTTTCGCGTTCGACTCACCGTGCCTGCCGTATCAGCGCTCTGAGCAGCTCCGTTGACGTCGCTCCTCGTGATCCCCGTCGACGACTCGTCGCCGCATTAAACCTATCTCGCTACGCACGTTTGCATGCCGACTTGCCGGTCAATGGCTGAGCGCGGCCGCCCCTTCCAGCTGCCGTTTCATTTTGTTCGCCTCCTCTTAAGGGTAGAAAAGATGCGCATTACGAATGTAGAACTCGAAATTGCGAGGGAGAAGCAAGGGTGCAGCCGGACGGTGCAATTAATTTCGCGGATAATTAGAAATTCCACGAAGGCAGGAATTGTACGGGAACAATGGTCGGTGAATTTCACCGGTGTAATCTTTTTTTACTCCATCCTCGTTCCCTTTCACCTCCTCGCGTTTAATTCGAAGAACGCGACCGTGTTTGGATTAAAGTTCGATCGCGGTTTTAATGCCAGCCAACCAATTGTGTATGAACGCGTGAAATTCGAGCTTCAAAGAGCGCGGCACGTAAACACGCACGTATGTAAGTACGAGCTCCGCGCGTTCGAGAAAATCTCGGGATCGGTCCGAAGTTTTTTAAGCGTAAACCGAATCGAGCGTGTAGTAAAAACATTTTTTTTCCTCTTTTTCCTTCTCCGGAGCCCCGCCGGTACGCGTTAATTTCGCCGGTTCGTTGGTACGTACTTACCGTCTTTTTGTTCGCCGACCAATTTTCCCCTACCGTTTTTTTCGGGCTGGCACGAAATCACAGTTTTCCACGCTTTTCCACGCTACGAAAACAGCGGCGGATTTTCGAAACTTAGAAAAAGATGTCCTGTCCGCGGCCAATTAGCCTTAATTTGGAACGCGGCCAGTTCGCGGTTATTAAGAACTGGCGAACCGTATCGCCGCATTTAAAGTTTCAATTCCCGTAGCCCCGCGAGCTTACGAGCTCCCGCGTTTTCTACACGCGTTCGCCAGCTACAATTTTCACTGTTTTCCTACAATATTGCGTTTCACATTTTACCGAAACGGATTTAACTATTTCGAGAACCCGTTTTTCCCCGGTTTAATGTTTGCCGTTTCCTACGTTGCGCTTTTAACGACGTTGCTCTACTGTGTGATTTATTGCGTTCACTTTCTCCGATAAACGACGGGCTCCTCGGAGACAATGCGCTTAAACGTTTGTCGGCGAGTGCGAGCGCAATTATGACGGAGGATCGCGTCGAAAAGTGGTTTGATCGCGTCGAGCGCATAACCAGGGCGATTATAAACGTAACGCTGCTGCTATCACCGACGAAATGCTTGAGCCTTTAATTGGCCACGCTGCAAGTCAGTCACGTATAACTACCGCCGCTCGGGCTAATGAAAGTCTCAACTTTTTCTAGTCGTTATAGAAGTTTCCATTAACGAGCCGATCGATGGAAATTCACCGCAGGCTGTCCGTGCCGGAAGTAAACCGAAATAGAAAAACATTTGATAAAAAAATTTAATTTCGCGAATGTAAAATTATATTTAAAACCGGAATAAGGATTGAATATCGATGTTAAAAAAACGCGAGCTCGACGAAACACGATTTATTCGACTACAGGAAGAGTGACTCTGAGGTCAAACATTTTAGTCCTGCGACCTGTTTTTTATAGTATTTTAAGCCCAACTCTGTTCTTCCTTTCGACTTCATCTATTTTTTAATTTCCTCACACGTGTTAGTAATTCTATGAAAAATACAAGTGACCTTTCTTTAATTATTCGTCGAATTTCAACGTCTCTTCCTAAAACGTTCACCGCGAGAAATTAGATAATTGTCGAGCTGGCTGATAGGAGTCTAGAATTCGTTGTCGGTGTTTGCCGGGTCGGGTCTGATTACAAAGCCATTCACGGAATTCCCGCGGAGCGTATCGATGCGATTCGTAATGCGACATGAATGGAAGGGTGTCACGAGGTCCTTTGACGGTCGTTAGTTACTTATCATCGACAAAGGGTAGCGCGGTCGCGATAAAGGATCTCAGTCGGGTTCGAAATAAGTCTGAATAAAGGTGGCCGGAGATGGAGGGCGAGCTCTAAAAATGCTCCAGTCCGCCTTCCGGGATCCGCTCGTTTTCGCGAGACGGCCTCAAAGATACAGGCCGCGACAAAGGGACGAGAGGCTCGAAGGAACAGGTACGTGGGCACGCGTGCGGCGAGGGGAAAAAATCTTCAGACGCCCATCTCTCGGTACCCATTCTTTCAACGTTTCTTTATTTATTAAACATCGTAATATTATAGTATGTACAATAATATACCTATCTAATCTAACGATATCACTGCGATTACAGATTCTTTTTCCGTTCTCCTTCCATCGGTTTTTATTTTTTTATTTTTTTTTCTCGTTTACGCTCGGCATCGTCGTCGGTTAAGAGCTACATGCTTAAATATCTTTCTTAGTTTATTCGCTTGCACGAGCGTCGAATTGCGACACATACAGTTTTTCTTTAGCTAGCCTGACGTCGCCAGCCCACGCGAACGAGTCGGGATCGAGTCGAAAGGCAGCCGATAAAGCTTTGTTTGGGATGCGCGGCCGGTGTTCCCGTTTTTCCGCTCGCTCTTTTTTTCACACCGGCGGGGATATCACTTTTCCTTTCGGAGGGGACAGAAAATACCGCGGACACCGGAACAAAGTGGCCGGGGCGAGAGCGGAGCGATTTCGGCAGGGCCATGGGAGCGAGATCGAAGCTCACGGGCCAGAGGACGGCGACCCTTGAATTCAATTCTATTCGCAGCCGGAATTCAATTCGCGACGAGCCAGTTCGACCGAAACGGACCAAGTTTGTTTCGATGCGTCCCGCCGACTCTTTCTACTCACTTTTTTTTACCAACCGGCTCACCTCGTTTCGCGTTTCATAAACTCCGCACAACGCGGTATTCCTTGCTCGTGTCTACGATAGAGAAATTTTTATATATTCTGGGATTCAGTTGTTTGGTACTGTCAATTAGTATCGATTCGGAGTAAAACGAAATACTGCACTTTTGTCAGAATTCTTGTAATCTTTAAGGATGTATAGGCTATACACTTAAACCATGCTAGCATGTTCAATTTGTTATTATAGATTCCTATTGTTA